AACTTCTAATGGTAGGGCCTTTCAAGTTTTCAACAATCATGATTTTGTTTTCTTACAATATCCCTTTGTCATCCCAATAAGAGACTGTTAAGTTCCTTTTATTATCTCCAAAGTTGCATCACACTGTGCAAAATCAAATTATGACCGTGCTGTAGCATGATAGTGAAAAGTTGCATCGCCTTTGCAAGATTGAATCATGACCGTGCTGTCTTTTGTAATAAAGCAACTTTTCTTTTACAGCCAGTTTCCTTCTCAAGTAACGCAACATTTTCTCATGTTTGGTTTTTCAGTTCTACCAGTGCTAATTCATGTTTCCTCTGTGATGTAATTTAGGTTGACATTTAGAAACCAAAATATGAACTAAACTTGTATCTTTTTGATCCATGCTAATGGTATCATATATTTTTTGCCACCCTTTCAGCTGCTGGTCCGTCTTCACCTGCTGAACATTTGCGAGAAGTATTCTACAGAATGGGCCTGAATGACAAGGTACTCGGATACTGCTGTGTTACTTTTAACTCTTCAATACAGTATACTTCTGGAGTTGCTTGTCTTATCTTTTTTGTGATCTGTAGGAAATTGTTGCATTGTCAGGAGCACACACACTTGGACGATCAAGACCAGAGCGCAGCGGCTGGGGTAAACCTGAAACAAAATACACTGTGCGTAAATTACAGCCAGAGCTCATTGTTTCCAATTTAAAGATGCCTTATCTATTGAAACATATTCATGGTACTAGCTGAATGACCCATGCGCTGCTACACAGTAATAGAAGTAATAACTATAAATCCAATCATGTAGGGTAACTATTTCCGTCCATTACGAAATAGATTTAGATATATAGTAACAGCCCAGGCAACTTAGAAACCGCAAAACAGTAAAATTTTATATGAAATATTTAATAGATTATTCAATAAAACATCGCCAACACTCGTATTAGTTCCTTGCTTATGCGCATCCTACAAAATGACAATGTCAGATCGCTACTTTGCTGGGTGCTAACAAGACCGAAAGTTATTCTTCTACACTGAAAGTGTCATTTAGCCATATCAATTCAATTGTGATTTTTTGAATGAACTACAAAAAATGAGCTATATTCTTATCACCGTCATTAACTTTTCTATCACAGAGCTTATATGTTCCTACAAAGCTGTTCTTCTTGGTGCCAGCATGTACAGCATCATTATGTTCTGAATGAAGAATGTTGTGAACCTTATATCATATTGTTAGCCTGATTGGTTGTTATGCTTGACTTGCCAGAAAAATGGACCTGGTGCACCTGGGGGGCAATCTTGGACATCACAGTGGCTCAAGTTTGATAACAGCTATTTCAAGGTGAGATTCCTAATTTGTAATATGCTATAGAGTAATAGCTGCAATCATTATTATCTTACAGTTATATAACACATAAAATTTAGGATGTCAAAGAACGACGAGACGAGGACCTCCTAGTTCTGCCTACTGATGCTGTGCTCTTTGAGGATTCATCATTCAAGGTTAGTGACGATTCTCCCATTGCAAAACATCTGTAGCTGATTCTTTGAACATAATTTTGTGTGCTATCATGGTTGCAGATTTATGCTGAAAAGTATGCTGAGGATCAGGATACATTTTTTGAAGACTACGCTGAAGCTCATGCTAAATTGAGCAATCTGGGGTCTAAGTTTGACCCTCCTAAGGTAGATGTGATTAAGAGAACCATTTATAGAACCAGGACATAATTAACCATATTGTAAGGTCGTGCTGACTCATTGAAATGTTGCAGGGTGTATCACTAGACTAGCCAATACTTGCTGCTGATGAACTGCATTTTGGTGAGTGAAGATGACAAGGCTCTGTTTCTTGCAACTATTTTCGAGGTGTAACAAATTCGGATCCACCGAAGCAGTATTTTGAGTTGTGTGCTCCATTACCAGAAATAAAAGCAGCATTGGACAGTTCCCCGACCGAACATTTATGATACTTACATGTTGTATGACACTTCAAGGTGATCAAATATAAAACAATACTATCAGGCTGTTGCCCCTTTGCGATATGTCTGGAACAGAACGGTACCTAGCAAGCACACTATGGGATATTTTATTTATCTTTTTGTTTGATGTTTGATCATACAACATACCAACCATCCTGAAGAGGTGAGCTCATTTCCCTCTTGGGAACCCCAGGATAGCCTGAATCATGTCTCCCAGCTTGCCTTCAAGCACTCCTTTGAGGATCTTGAGCCTTGGTGCCGAGTAGGGCGGGTACCTAGCCCTGGCCTCCCCGGCGAAGCCTCGGTTCATGACTGCCTTCCTGTGGCTGAAAGCATCAAAGCTGAACTTCCCATGGTAGGAGCCTGTGCCGCTCTCCCCAACTCCTCCAAATGGCAGGTATGGGTTTGTGAGCTGCAACATCGCAGAACAATGTCAGCATTCTCACTTTAGTTCCCTGTAAAATTCGCATGTTCCAGACAGGGCCTTCTGCTGATTACATGTATGCTGGTGTCATTGAAGAGCATTCCTCCTGCAGAAATGGCCCCCTCGAACTGGTTCTGGAGCTCACTGTCCCTGGTGAAGAGGTAAGCTGCAAGTGGCTTAGCCATTGAGTTGATGAGACCAAAGCTTTCATGGATCTTGTCAACCTGAAAGAAAAAGAGAACATTCGACTCAGATGCACATCATGTACCACCAGTAATCTCCTGTGCTTTTTTTGAGGGGAATCTTATGGGTAAAAAATGAAGTAATATTCTCTGAATCTGAGAGAGTTGGCTCTGACCGTGATGATCGGAAGCAAGGGCCCGAATATTTCCTCCTTCATGATGGCGGAATCGAGAGGGACATCTAGGAATATTGTAGGGGCGATCTTCCTGTGGTACGATGAAGAAACAACAGAAACAATATGTGAGCAGATCAACCAAACGCATTATGCGCATGATGGTAATTTGCTAGAGTTGGTAATGTGAAGATGGAATCCACTCACAGCTGCTGTTCATCCCTGTGACCGCCGAACACGATCTTGTCGGAGACCATCTCTTCGTCCATCAAGCCCTTGAGCCTGCCAAAATGGCTGGCATTCACGACGCGGGACAAGTCCGCTGATAGCAGTGGATCCTTCCCGTAGAACTTCTCCAAAACTTTCTTTAAAGACTCGAGCTTCCAAGTTATGTTCAACGAAAAGTTAGGATTCATCACCCTCGTAAAAAAGAGAGGGTTAGAACTGTGCAAACAAACATATATTTGTGTACCAGCTTTGGGGCAAAAGCCTGTGTGGTTATGATGAAATCAGGAGCAATGCAGGCCTGGCCATTGTTGCAACCCCACTTGCCAGCAGCGATCCTCTTGGCAGCAATCTTTGTAGGAAAATAATAATTAAGAAACATGAGTTAGAAAAAAAAGGGAACATCTAAGAGAAGGCGAGCTTTTTTTTCTCCGTGGGATTTTGGCAATGATCATTCGGACTGGGGAGGATTGATTTTACGTGGAGATCGACGTTTGAATCGACAACCACCGGGCATTTGCCGCCGAGCTCCAAGACGACCGGCGTCAGATGCTTCGCCGCTGCGGCCATCACGACGCGTCCGACTCTACTGTTGCCTGCAATTTTTCATCGCAACATGCCGTTGGTTGGATGCAGGCGAGAAGAAGGTTTCGAGCTTCATCGACGGCCGTCGACAAGAACTGACATGGAGATTGGCACTGACCTGTGTAGAAGATTTTGTCCCACTTGTGGTTTAGGAGCGCGGTGGTCTCCTTGACGCCGCCCTCGATGACCTTGATGCAGGTGCCATCGACGAACCGCGGCAGCAGCTCAGCCAGCAGCGACGACATGGCTGGTGCCCCCTCAGACGGCTTCAGCGCAACGGCGTTGCCGGCGGCGATCGCACCGATGACCGGGTCCAGGGACAGCACTGAGATGATCGGTAGACATGTCGTTTGGAACGCATGAATTTCATGGTTTTCCCCATTTGAAATCAGACACAGTATGAAGAGCAAGAAGATAAAAATATCACTTGAGCTTCTCCGCAACAAAAATTAATTATTACAGCTGGATCTCGAGCCAATTTTCTTATATGTCCAGCTGCAACTGGTAAATCACTTTATCATCTAGTGTCATAGGATTATTACTAGTAGTAAACTTCTTGTTTTGAAATCTATATCTATATCTATATCTATACCTATTATTACAGGGAGGTGATATTTTTGGTTTCGTCTCGTTTTGTTTGATCCACTTTAATTAATTTCACGTACGCTATTTGGTTTCGTTACATGCCACCCGTTTTGGCCCAATGGAGGAAGCCCACCTGACGGAACACTGTGGTCCACGTCCGAAGAGCTGGCAAACAAAAAAAATAGCCGATGGCAGGGTTCGATCTCATAACCCGCTAACCGGCCACACACAGTTTGTCCAACTAACCCAGCTAGAGATATGAGAAAATTATTTTTCTCCCATTGCAATACACGGGCCTTTTTGCTAGTAAACATACAATTTTAATAAAACGGTAATGCACCTTTCTCTTCATAAGATGGTTGGATGTTAATCCAAAAGTATAACGTGACTCAGATTTATGAAGACATAAACTTCTAAATAGACAAATGTTCCCATCATCCGGGTGAAGGAGACGTTGCTTATGGTTCAAAGTGTATAAACGTGACATTTTGCATGGTAGTACTAGGTAACAATATGGCTGAAATAGAGACATTGCTTATTTTTAAAATGTCGTAAAGTGAAATTTGAAGTCGCTAATTGTATGTAAAACGACACATTTTGATAACTAATATAGTTTCTGTTAAGTTATTTTTCTTACACATGCTTTCTAATTTAATCTGTGTTTGCGCACAATGGTCGCAGCCTCTTTATCCATATAGAGCGCGACCGATGGCCATTCGAATCTGCTAGAGTTACTGTTAGCGGGGGGTCAAAATATGGCAATATTCTTTTGAAGGGGTAAAAGTGTTTAAATGTGTTGAAAAGTGACATGCACATTGAAAACGATGCGTGGTTAGTTGTACTTTCTCAGTACCAGTGCATAAGTCATGTTACAAAAACCAAATAATCCCAAAACACTTAGACGCGGTTTATTAACTCTCACCTCGTTTTTTATTTCTTGATTGACATGAATAAAGGAATTAACCAATAAGAGACGTGACGCATGTATGTTTTTAATGACTTAAGACTACCTAACACGGCATGAAGTGGCCAGTTCATTGCATGCAGTGTTATTAATTAGCAAATGAACTTTAAGTTCTCTTGTTTTTCCCTCCGCCTTGATCATAGTGCACAACGTAAGATGACTTATGCACTGATACGAAGGGAGTACTCCCTCCGTCTAGGTGTGTTAGTCACCTTACGAAAACCAAATAATCTCAAAACACTTAGGCACGGTACATTAACTCGCTCCTCGTTTCTTGTTTAGTGACATATCAACCAATAAGAAATGTAGGCCATGCATGCTTTCAATAACTTAAGACTATCAAACATGATGACTTAGAGGGTGCTTGGATTCAAGGGACTTATTTTAGTCTAACAAAAAATAGTCTCTTTAAAAGGCTAAAACTAAAGAGGGGCTAAAACTAGTCTTGAGACTAAAATATTTTAGTTAGGGGTACCCCTACTAAAATGTGAATTAGTCCTCTCTCTTTTCATTTAACTCCCCTCCTTTAACACATGCGAGTTCTGGATTGGAGGATTTGAAGGATAATAAATGCTCATTAACTTAATTTTAGTCTCTTTAGTATTTGGATCCAAGCATGGATGAGGCTAGCAAGTTTTAGTCTCACTACTTTTAGTCATGAGACTAAAATGTATCCAAGCACCCTCTTATACACCTAGACGGAGGGAGTACTACTAATCCAGTTGTGCATTTTATCATGTGTAAAAAATAGGCACCCGTAAATGATGATTATGTTGTTGGCTAAAGAGTTGTCCAGATATCTCTAAAAGAATAAAAATGAAAAAGAAACAGATATACAGTGCATGAAAGACGCACGGTACCAGACAGGCGTAATGCACGAAAGATACATGACACAGAAGAAAATAAATGAAGCTACATTTCATTGATGGCTTTGTGGCCGTCAACCAACAAACTATCTGAAACTGAGCCATCTCAGCGAGATGCACTATTCTGGCAGCGCAGGAAGATGGAAGTGATTTGTAGAAGAGCTGAAGATACCAAAGTATAAATGCCGACAGCGACGGAACGAAACCCAAACCCGCAGGACGGCAATCATGTACACCACCCTCCGTTCTGCAACAGTGAAGTAGTGGGGATGCCTACGTGGCACTTCATTACGTGCACACCAACCACAGTTATATGCCAGGCGCATTTACCCGCAAAAGAAAAAAAGAAAAAAAAGAGTACATGCCAGCCGCATGAGCATGTGTGGCTGAGCAGATCATTCCCATTCTTATAGTACTTACATCTCATGGCTCATGCACACATGTTGCATGCATGCACCAGCTAGTGGCTGTTCCCAGTTTTTGGGCAACTTTTTAGTTGATGATCTTCCTCTGTTTATATTCCCTTTAATCAGTATGATCCAGTTTCATTTTAAATTTAATTTGATGCCTCCTATACACAATGAAATTAGTAGCGCACGCCTGAAAGCTTGTTGAATGGCATTTTAATTTATCGCTAAACAATTTTTTCTGTCAACTTAGGGTTCCATGCATAATGAACTTACAGAGAGGGTAGTTCCAGGCGGAGATGACGAGCACGAGGCCGAGGGGCTCTGGCGTAATCCTCGCCGTCGAGGGGAAACTCATGAGCTTTGCAGGAACCTGAATCAAGGGTACGTCCCTATTCGATCAATGCTTAATAAGATAATGGACATTGTGTGATATAAATCTGCAAGTGGTTAGCTGCTGCGGGTACAAGAGCATGATTGGTTTTCTATCAATAGGTTTGTGTACAGTGTAGGCTTGATAGCTGTAGAGACACTGTTGATTAAGCTATCGACATCTCACATCATATCAAGGTACTAGTGAATCGACAATGATATACCTTCTGGGGTTTCATCCATTTCTTGAGATTCTTCAAGGCAAACAAGCACGACGACTTGATCAGAGATAGCTGCCTCATCAAAATTCACAATTGACAAGAGAACAAATAACATGTGAGTAAGCATGTGACCAGCTACGAGAGTAAGCCCAGTGCGAAATAGATAAATAAACCAAAAAGCTCAAATAATACATGAACTTTCTTTTTGGAGTTGATAACACATGAACTTGACAGACCGTTTTTTGCGTGTGGTATTTAGTTTCAGGTGATCCGAGAGAAACGAAGTTTTGCGGAATTTGATTTCGATCTGTGGGCAGATGCTTAAATAATTGGGCTTACGTGTATACACTGTGCATGTATGATTGATTTTCTTCCATTTTAGTTGGTGCCATAGTTACATGACACCATCCGATTGAATTTAAAGAAAGAAAAACAGGGCTGTGAAATTATAGTAGTACTGTATGACGAAGCGAGTTGTGAATCGAACATGCAAATAGAACAGACAGGGACTTTAAGAAGCCAGAAATTTCAGATCAGTTTATCAATCTAGTCGACCCAATTAATACTCCTCCCTCCGTTTTAAATTACTTGTCATCGAAATGGATGTATCTAGAACTAAAATAAATCTAGATATATTCATACCTGCGATAAGTAATTTGGAACGGAGGAAGTACCTAGCAAGGAATCTCAAAAAAAAAAAACAGAAGAAGGAACCCGCGAAGATCTTATAACAAACTAATCCAACGTATGAATATGATCGATCGTAATCGTAGCGGAGAAATTAGGACGCGTGGATGCTGCTTGACGTACCTCGTGGACGTGTGCTTCGGTCTTGGGCTTGCCGAGGTCGGCGTGGAGGGCGTCGCATATCTCCGCCTCCATCTCCGTGGCCATCCGCAGAACCCCTCGCAGCTGCGCCGCCCGCCACTCCGCCGGCCTCGTCTGCCCCGCCGCGAACCTCTCCCGGAGCTCCTGCACAGCCGCCGCCCGGGACTCCACCATGTTATATATGTAATCTAGCTAGCTCCTGGTGAATTACCTGCAAGCAAGCCAGTTAGGTCGGTGATATGGAGGGAAGGAGGAGGCTGGAGGTGGTTTGTCTTGTGGAGAGATGAGAGACGTGCTTATATATGTTTGACGTTTTGTTCTAAAAAAAAATGTTTGACGTTTCTACAAGATTTTTGTTTAAAGCGGTTGGTCGCTCTGTTTTGCTCTTATCGCTTTGTTCGTTTGATCTTCTCCGATAGTCGGATCAGCACCACCCGTCCTTTGAAGATTATGATGAAATTAATCATTGCGGTCATGTCAAAAAATATATAGAGATTAACCATTGTGGTGTGCAAAAGTAATACTCTCATTGATTTAAAAAAGTAATACTCTCTTTCAATTCATTCAGTTTATGATACTTTCCAGAATACACATTCCTAACCCAATAATGATGATTCAAAATATCAATAGGTCCGAATCCTTTATTTCAACACATGACATCCTATCTGTGTTGCCACTTATTCTCTTTCTGACCCTCGTCGACGGTGGCCTCATTGTTGACACAATCATACCACGTCTGCGTGTGGTCAATTTTAAGACATCTCTCTCGGCATAAGATGAGAAATCTGCTTTTCTTTCCTGCGAGATTTTGGTGGAGCGTGCATGCATGGTTATAAGTGGCTTGTTTCGTCTCCAATCTGATTTTGCTGGGGTGTTCATTTCGAATCCGAATCGACACTAGAGTCAATAATCTAGATTACATTGTAATGATTCTAACACCCATGGAGTCTTGGTGCTGATCATGTTTTGCTCATGAAAGAGGCTTAGTCAATGGGTCTGCAACATTCAAATCCGTATGTATTTTGCAAATCTCTATATCTTCCTCCTTGACTTGATCGCGAATGGAATTGAAGCGTCTCTTGATGTGTTTGGTTCTCTTGTGAAATTTGGATTCCTTCGCTAAAGCAATTGCTCCAGTATTGTCACAAAAGATTTTCATTGGGCCCGATGCACTAGGTATTACACCTAGATCGGATATGAACTCCTTCATCCAGATTTCTTTATTTGCTACTTTCAAAGCAGCTCTGTACTCCGCTTCACATATAGATCCCGTCACGACGCTCTGCTTGGAACTGCACCAACTGTCAGCTCCACCATTCAATATAAACTAGACAATTCCCCGCGCGTTGCTGCGGGAATTTGTTGTAGATTTTCAGATAACATTCACGTATCAAATAATAAAACCATTTGATTCAATGATATGAAACATAGGTGACCTTTATTTTCATAAATCTATTGTTCAAATTTATTGGTCACATTTAAAAGCTATAAATACAATTCTTTTGCGTTCTTTACTTTTGAAATTGCATATGTGTATTTGTTGCGAGCTTCCCTTAGTAAAACAATAAAGAACATGACTGATTATTGTTCAAAGAATTAGGTGGCATCCTGGATAAGATGTTTACGTTATTAATTAAAATAGATGGAGTAAGGCAAAAAAGTGATATGAAAAATAGAGAGCGAACCAATATTCAGTACTTGCTGCTTATGTTGTCCATCTGTACTAGCTATCCATCCATGGTTGAACTGATGAAGTGGTAAGGAGAAATAAGGTTCCATATATTTTCTCAGTAATAATAATTATGAAGGTAAAAGATTAAGACTTCATAGTGTGACCTTGGAAATGCAAAAACTTCAAATCACAACACATAATGTCATTGCCTCCAAAGGTAAACATAACGCATCCAAGCAACTGTTACATCATTTTTTTAGTAATAAGCCATTTGACATCACATATAGAGATCTAGGATTTGAAAACAAATTGCACAATCGTTCAGAGATAATCTTTAAGATCATATCGGAAAGCAAGAACTACTAATAAGTTGTGGGCATCGCACACCATAGTACTGCATTCTTGCTAATAAACAAAGTCAAAGATACAAAAGGATTTAAAACAAACTGTAGACAAAGTGAAATGGTAAGACAACATACTTTAGTACAATCATAGTCCATTGTTGCCAAATAACACAACCATAGTAATCGCATCTTTTTGAATGTCCAGCTACTGCTGCCAATACATGGAATATATTTATTTAGCAGTAAAACATGGATCGCAGTCCTTTGTTGTATATTTTTCTTAGTGGAATTATTCCACTTGTCCTGAAATGTTTCCTGATTTATTGTTGTTTGTGGTGTTGCCCAAAGATATAATGGCAAATAAATATAACTAATTGGTGGATACAATGGGGGATATAATTAACCGGGCCAGGTTGTAAAGCGTATCTCTAGTTACCAGATCATACTTACTATGATGGGGCTTAAGAACTTTCACAGGGTAATGTCATCACACTTATGAGCTTACCAGGTTGAATAGAGCTGAGACTGCAAGAATTGACAAACTATAAAAAGACATGGGTAGTTATACGTGTGTAAAATAGTTTGATGCTTACATTCAGGTCGCTAGTAGTCTTAGTTGTAATGCAATACCCTGCAAATAAAAAATATAAACACAAAGATCAGTTTGCAGTGTTGCAGCTCAAATTGATATATCCACAAATGCCTGCCAAGCCAAATACCTGGTCTGATCCTAAAAAAAGAAAAAAAAGCAAATACAATATTGAAAGAAGAATACTATTCAAAGGAGGGATAGGCTAGTCTGGCATGACTACTGATAGTTCTTGCTCCAAAAGAAAACACTGCTTAGTATTCTCTATTCCTGGACCTACTCTTTTATTACCTAGATGTCATGGTGCGTAGATCTGGGAGTTAACAAATGGCATTAGTGAAAATTAATAATTGATGGTACACCATATCTGTAATATTATGAAGTACTCGTCCAATGAAGCTAAACAAAATGCACTCTTACCTTGCCATTTGTTGTAGAGAACTAAACATTACTGAATTTATGTTCATCTTTAGTTCACATACCAAGATTTACTGAACACCAACCTAAGTGAAAAGAAAGTGTAGCAGGACTTAAAATTCATAGACAGAGAAGAAAAAGAACGACAATATGACATAGAAACCTGTAAGGAACATTTAGTATGACAGCCATATCATGCCAATCTGCAGCATCTCAGACACCAACCTATACTTTGAGCTTTGAATCGGTCAAGATAAGATTTTTGCAAGATAGTTAGCTGATGCAGTTCTAGTCACAACAATTCTAAATCTCTGGATTTAAGAGCCGGACTCATAAAAACTGGATGGGACATCATGAGGAAGAGGTTGAGCGGGTACCTGGTACAGAGAAGGGAGGCAATATCGGGGATGCAGGTGTGTTCCTGCCAACACGTGCATCACCAGCAAGCAATGGGCGTCGGCAACGGAGGCTTCAAATTCGGACCACCGTGAAGGTTGATGATTATCGAAGGACGAAACTGACGACCCTCGAGTAGATCTTTGGTACCAATTGTGGCAGTTAGTTGAGCGTGTGGAGGCAGGAGTAAATCCATCCGGCTTTTTACACGAACCATTTGTTTCTGCTGCAATGGAGATTCAAGAAGATGAAGAGGAAGACAGGCTGCCGTAGGGAAGATAAGAGGTTGAGATGTGGAATCCTTACGGGGGGAGGGGGGATTAAAGAGTGTTGCCCTCCTTAGTGGAGAAGAAAGGAAGCAAAGGAGGCGTGCAACTGGAAAGTAAAGAAGGAAGCAGAGGGGGCGCGCCTGCGTTGGGGGAGAAGGAAGAAGCAATGTGTACGGGGACCTTCAGGAAATAGAAACTGATGCTGGGACCGGAAAAAATAGAGATTTCTTACAGAAAAAATGATGAGAAAACTCAAAAAATGATGAGGTGGAAGGCTGATGATGTGGATAGACTACATGTCAAGAGAAATAGGATAGCGGGGATGACCTATTTAGGTATTATAGATACGTATCTGATTTGCGACTTAGAGTCATCCGGATCAGTGTCAAAGCTTGCATCGATGTAACCATTTACGACAAGCTCTTTGTCACCTCCATAAATGAGAAACATATCTTTAGTCCTTTTCAAGTATTTTAGGATGTTCTTGACCGCTGTCCAGTGATCCACTCCTGGATTACTTTGGTATCTCCCTGCTAAACTTATAGCAAGGCACACATCATGTATGATACACATCATTGCATACATGATAGAACCTATGGCTGAGGCATAGAGAATGACTTTCATTTTCTCTCCATCTTCTGCAGTGGTCGGGCATTGAGTCTGACTCAACTTCACACCTTGTAACACAGGCAAAAACCCTTTCTTTGACTGATCCATTTTGAACTTCTTCAAAATATTATCAAGTTATGTGCTTTGTGAAAGTCCAATTAAGCGTCTTGATCTATCTCTATAGATCTTGATGCAATATATAAGCAGCTTCACCGAGGTATTTCATTGAAATATTCTTATTCAAGTATCCTTTTATGCTATCTAGAAATTCTGTATTATTTCAAATCAACAATATGTCATCCACATATAATATTAGAAATGCTACAGAGCTCCCACTCACTTTCTTGTAAATACAGACTTCTCCAAAAGTCTGTATAAAACCATATGCTTTGATCACACTATCAAAGCGTATATTCCAACTCCGAGAGGCTTGCACCAGTCCATAAATGGATCGTTGGAGCTTGCACACTTTGTTAGCACCTTTAGGATAGACAAAACCTTCTGGTTGCATCATATACAACACTTCTTTAAGAAATCCATTAAGGAATGCAGTTTTGACATCCATTTGCCAAATTTCATAATCATAAAATGCGGCAATTTCTAACATGATTCAGACAGACTTAAGCATCTCTACGAGTGAGAAAGTCTCATCGTAGTCAACTCCTTGAACTTGTCGAAAACCTTTCGCAACAAGTCGAGCTTTGTAGACAGTAACATTACCGTCAACGTCACTCTTCTTCTTGAAGATCCATTTATTCTCTATGGCTTGCCGATCATCGGGCAAGCCAACCAAAGTCCATACTTTGTTCTCATACATGGATCCCATCTTAGATTTCATGGCCTCAAGCCATTTCGCGGAATCTGGGCTCATCATCACT